CTAATAAAACGTAGAGCGAGATTTTTGGAAGTATTCACACACTAAGACTGATTGATATTTGAGAGTATCATACAGAATCGACTGCGACACAGGAGAGTATTGGGAAAGCACTATTTTTATAGGCAATCAACATCGTTCTATCTAATGCAACACGTCCTTGTCTGTTATTATTAAATTTATTTTATCGATTTTTTCCGTGAACGGTACAATGGCTGTGCTCTTCACTCATATACTGATTACGATGCTCATTTTTTGTCGAAGGGTGCCAAGTCGTGATTCTTCTGATCTTCCTAACAAGGTTTAGACAGAACTCTTAGAGCGTGTTTTCAGTTTAGTATTCTGAACAAGTTTCTTCTTCCCTTAGTCAGATAATGGGCAATTATTTCGCCCAATATTAATGCAAGAGTTCGGGGTAGGTCTTGACAAAAAACTGTTCATATTTTAGTAGAATCGTTTTTGATAATTCTGCAACGATTGTGACCTCCAAATTAGGAATAAAATCCTCAGATTCCTTTGCTTGTCTATCAAAAGTTTGCATGGGACCAGCATTGATCTCTTCAGAATGTCAACAATCCTTATTCGTGGAAAAGCCGTTATGCAATTCTCAAAGTGTGGATTTTATTCTCCTGGAAGATTTTAATTTTTAAAATCTAATAAATCTTTATCAGAACTTCAAGAAGTTCTGCAAAGACGGATTAAGTAAGATTCGAGATGGAATCCTCATAAATCATATTAGAGTTTCTGAAGGAATAAACACGATTAAGACTAAGAAAGTGGCATAGATATAAGAATCGTAACGTAGTCCTTTTTTCATAGGAAATTAAAAAAGGTTTCTAAATTATTATCTGCGGAAAGAATCTTTCCTTCTTTAAAATATGTCAGGAAGGACGTTCTTGAAAGTTTTACCAAGGATCTTTGAAAGAAGAATGTCTAACTTGTATCACTTTTCCATGAGATCGAGAATATTTTCGAGAAAAATTACGATTCCTTGTCTTTCTCGTTTATTGTAGTGTGTTCCTAATATTCCAGCGAATGCCGGATGGGCCAAGAACGGAGTGGTCATTTCTGGAAGTTATGAACCAGACAAAACCACTAAAAAGCTCTAGTATCCGAACGCTCTCTTCGTCGATAATAATCAAACCAGAATCATTGCTGATATGGGCAATCATCGTATCATTCAATGGAAGATTGCTGATACGAACGGACAAGTGGTAGCTGGTGGCCATGACCAAAAAATCGATTGGATCAATTGTGTAATCCAACTGATGTGTTGAGCGAGAAGGAGACGAATAGTCTCATTATTTATGATCGAGACAACCGACGAGTGCTATGATGGTCTCGGCATGGCAGCACTACTGAAGGAGAAATCCTACTTAACAATATCACTTGTCGAACACTGGCGATGAATGATCAGACATATCTCTACATCTCTGACCCCGATAAACACGAAGTAAGGCAATATCAAATAGGAGATAAATATGGAACTATCGTCGTTGATGGCCATGATGAAAATGATAGTATCAATCAACTGCAATCTCTGATCGACGCTTTTGTCGATCAACAACAGGCTGTGTACGCGTCGGACTGTCGAAATCATCGGTAATGAAATGGGATAAAGGTGCAACAGAAGGAATTGTCCCTGCTGGAGACCAAGACGAAGGGAGCGCTCTGGCAAAACTGTAACGCGTAAAAGTATCTAATATCGTAAAAACGTGTTAGAATTGTAAATGATAAAAAATTCGCTTGAACCTTATAACGCGTTAGAATGTACCGTTTTTACATTTTGGAACGTGTTCATTTTGGATCCATTTTTACGTGTTTTTCTATTGATTTTGTCTGCCTGCGTAGTAATCGCTGCTTTGGTTTCTTAGAATATAACTTGCCAGCAAAGTTTTCTTTGAATGTAAAATTGAATTTTATTTTGTATAGAGTTTTATTCATAAAATTTTTCTAATATTAGAAGTCATTTTGAATTATTATTTCGACAGTACATGACTTTCACTTTAATTGGATATTCTTACGTTACTCCATACTGATCATCGCAATCTATTCTGTTTGTTAACGTTATATTTATGTCATTAGACTATTTCTGAAATTCTATCCTTGTTCAGTTTGAAAACAGCACTCGTACTATTAGATATGCTCTAACCCACACTCAATATGTAAGTTACAAAACAACAGTGATTGGAACCGATAATAATTCAATTGTCGACAAAATACGATCACTTGTCCGAATCAAAAACATCGGTCAATTCAAATTTATAATGCCGAACTTACTGATTATTTCGAGTTTACTTTGTTTCAACAGATTGTTGATCAACCGAATGAAACTAAAATGAATTTCAATATGTGAAATACATCAAATCTTCATCATTATCATCAAATAAACATAAAATTGATGAAGATAACTACAGCGTTACGCCAAAATCTCATCTAAGTAGAATTCGAAGTAACATAACACATAGATCTTAGCGTAAGTTTCTTAGTTTCATCTTTTTGTTCAATTGTTTTGTTTTTCTAGGCTAGAAACGATGTACCAAATGTATTATTTACCTACTGTGATTTAATAATTCAAGGATTGTAGCTACGCAGTTTGTTAAAAACTTGCTGGAATGTTTACTGTTTTCACATGTTCTAGGATGTCGATAAAAAGAGTACACTCACGATCAATTCATAGCCACTTTCGACTAGACATACAATGAAAAATTAGATAGACAGTAAGTGCTCATTCAATTTCTAACATCAACTTTCAAAAAAATGTCACTTCCAGATTTAAAAAAAGTTCTTCTTTAACCCTATTTACTTTTAGTTTTTTTTAGACACCCCAGCAGACTTATGATCTACTAATTCTAGAATGAATATAATTCTATATGAGCAATAGGTATTAGTGGAAATATTTTCGATTGAATGTTTTTTAATTTTCATCAGTCACAATCTTCTTCAAATTTCATTCAATATTTTAAGAAAAAATAAATACAAAATCTTCTAAAACTTTTTCAGACATTGCGTTAAATGTAAAGGTTTTATCAAAAATATTTTCCTTAATACTTAATGTTGATATATAAGTGTATTTATTTTTAAAATTACTAGGTCATAGATCAGCTAAAGTGTCTAGAAAAGATAGAAGCAAGACATTCCGTTAATTAGTGTCTACGGTCAAATCATAAGAGATTAAGACACATCAGTGTCTAAGATCGGTTATTCGTTGACACAAAAACTGTCTTGTCTGATTCTTACTTCATGTGTCTTGACTTTTTAAAGTATTGATCAGGCATATTTTTCTTTTGCCTCTGAATAACATTTTGATGGAAATAATAAGCTTTTGCTTGCGAATAGATGGCTTTTGATCTAATTCAAATCAGTCTAATACGGCTCGATAGTAAGAAACATTCACTCCTTTTAATATCTCTATGTGTTACAGAGATTTTTCTTCGTAGCCAGACCAATCAAGATTATTTCTGAATGAATCAGACTAATATATTTAGGAAAAAGTATCGTTTTTCATGGAGCACTGTAGCATGTATGCCGCACGAAAACGAGAAGAGAAATGAAGAAAAAAGAAATACAAAGAGCAGAAAGATTGGAAAAAAAGAATAAAAACAAAAGAAGAGGAGTTTAGTCCATTCCTATTTGAAAATAGGTTGATATAAAATAAAAATAAGGAAAAATGTAAGAGTTTCATTGATTCTCACAGATGAAGAAAAGATATTATCTAGATAGATATATACAAGACGATGAACTAGACAATTCTTCAGAACAACAAGAAAGGAAGAAACAAAAGAGAAGAATGACGTGCACACCAACATTCATACAAGTACTTATGCATTTAGACGTTCAGAAAGTGGAGATACTGTGATAGAATGCTTTGGAATATTATAATGGCCATCAGCCAATGAATGATGCTGATCATTATAAAGGAAAAAAAGTGATTTAGATTGCATCTTTTCGAGATTCTCAACTCTAGGTTTTGATTTAAAGTGCGTTCAAATCGAATTTCGATTCATTAAAAATCAGTTCTTTCGATATTGAATTTGCTTTATTCGATTCTTTTGGTTTATTTGATTTTTTTTAATATTCTGTCTTATGAAAATAGTCATAGCTTTGTTTTATTTGCTTTCGATCACAAGATAGATAACGTTTCATATATAAAATATAGGCGTATGAATACTTTATCAGTAGATAAGCATGCACATACGAAAGAAAGAAACGAAAAAAAAATAGAACCATTAAACTTATTCATAGAAAAATGAAGAAATATAATATAATAAGAGTAAGAAAATGGCTGATTCGTTTGAAATTTTTTACGCATTCTAAAACATTATTATATTAATATTAGACAAAATAGGTGTCTTTTAAACAGATATTTAAAAATTTTGCTTTAATAAATAAGTTTCATAGTTCACTATTTAAACGCTGTTCTTCTATTTTATATTTATACTATTAGTACGAATATTTCTTATCGAGTACAAATTTCTTATCTAATATTCTCATCAGTCCCATCATTCAATTTTTCGAACATATACTTAACTGTTAAGTCACAAACAATCGTTATACTAACTGTGCACTCTTATGCACATAAAAAAAAAAGAGTTAGAAATCAAACCAAAATGACTCTATAGGTTCTACCATTTTCTAGGATCGATTCTTCTGTTTATTATTCAAAGGGAAACATAAGTTATTTTGAAAAAGAAACAATTGTTTCATGTTGAAGCTCTACTATTGTTTTGAACAGATCTTGATTGAACAGAATGAACAATTTTATAGAACTATGATAGCTGTAATTCTAGTGTAGACTAGTTTTATTTCATTTTTATTAGTAGATTAATAAAACTTTTTTCCTGTAGTTACGCTCTTTTTGCCTTTTCTTTATATAATCAATTTAAATTACTTTTCTACGCAAATGTTGAGTAACCAACGATTCACCTTTACAATCTGTATCATATGATATACAATTTAATTTAGATAAACTTTAACTTATTTCTATTCGTGAAAATATTATTATGTCTACTACTACATCACATCCATTTGATCAAACACTTGCATCAGCTTATGTAAATCTTGCTGATGAACGCCTTGGTGCTCAAGCATTAGCTAATTCTGATGAATTTTTTGCTCCAGCATCTCGTATGCTTAATTCAGCATCAGCTGTTTTTCATGCTGGACGATATGATGATCATGGTCAATATATGGAAGGATGGGAGACTCGTCGAAAACGTGTTGCTGGTTATGATTGGTGTATTGTACAATTAGGTTTACCAGGACAAATTGTAGGTGTTGACATTGATACAAGTCATTTCACCGGAAATTATCCAGTAGCTGCCTCACTTGATGCGTGTTGCATTAATAAAGAAGAAAAACCAGATAATTGGCAAGAAATTTTACATGCAGTTACATTAGGTCCAAATGCTCATCATTTTCATGCAATAACTGCTCATGGTCATTGGACTCATGTTCGCTTGAATATTTATCCAGATGGTGGTATTGCTCGACTTCGTGTTTATGGTATTGTTCAACCATCCGAAGATAAATTTACAGAAGAAGTTGATTTATTAGCTCTTGAAAATGGAGGTCGTGCTATAGCAGCAAGTGATGAACATTATGGTAATCCTTGGGCACTATTACGTCCTGGTCGAGGTATTAACATGGGTGATGGATGGGAAACTCGCCGACGACGTGTGCCTGGTAATGAATGGTGTGTACTTGCCTTAGGTAAACGTGGAAGAATATCTCGTATTATTCTCGATACGGCTCATTATAAAGGCAATTATCCTGATCGATGTTTAATTCAAGCAGCTGATGCTACCCTGGATAATAGTAAATCATTAGTTAATCAATCATTATTTTGGGAAACATTATTACCTGAACAGAAATTAAAAATGGATGCTATTCATACATTTGATAAAGATCAAATAAATGATCTTGGTCCAATAACTCATGTACGAGTTAATATTATTCCTGATGGTGGCCTTTCTCGAGTACGTCTTTTTGGTCGAGTTGAATAAGATATGTTTGATTTCTATAATAATATGATATCGATAATGGTTGAAAATTTTTTATGATCATTTTGGTTTCTTTCTATGATTTGTTATGAAATAGATTTGTCAAATTATCTTATTCTTTTTTATTTAACATCAATAAATATTAAATGCTTGGTCATCTTTGAGAATTTTAGATTTTCATGGATAATTGAAAATAAAAATCAAGAATGATTATAAACAAACAGTGAATATAAATAAAAGATATATCTAAATATACATTTTAGGAAGTAAATGGAATATTCTTTATCAATATAGATATTTTGAAAATTACTCAAGTGTTGAATGAATTTCTATTTAATTGATGAGTACTTTTTCTGTATCGAATTTGATCGGTGATTGATGATACATTTTGTAGAAATTTAATTATGTCTCCTATGAATTAATGCTGTTTTTTGTTTATTTCTTTTATCAAGTTTTTTTTTAGCATTTATTAAAAATATTGTCTGTAAGTATGATTTTTTCTTTGTTGATGGCGATTTGAAAGTTGTAACCAGTAGGCTTTTCTCTTGACGGTACCGATACCTTTCAAACCCACATGAGACATTTTTCACTTTTCTCATCGTATAAAAGTGAAATCAATCTCTCGATTAGTCATACCTACCTCTGAATCACTATAGCCAGAATATAAAGCTCTTGCCGTTTCACTGTTATAATGCTGTTGTGAAACATGAATAGTCAAGTATATGCAAAAAAGATGAATCTATCTCTTGCAGATTGCTCCACAAGTTACGACAAATATGCCGATGTTCTTTTCAAACTACTGACAGACTGTGATACAGATGTCAGTCACAATCTGTAACGATCTAGCGAGTTTTTCGACATGCTAGTTTTTGGTTCCGTCATGATCTATCGTATAAACGATGGGGATTTCTCCAATAGCTAGAATAGCTCCATCGCGTTGAATATTTCAATCCTGTATAAATTGCGCTAAAAGTTTTTTCTTCACTATCCAAATTCGCTATTAGCCTTTTACATCAATTAAATGTTCATCAAGCATAAAAATTATGAATCAAGTGTATGTATACTTTACTTTCTACAATAGATTTACTTTGTTACCTTTTGTCTATGTGAAAGATATGATATAAGATAAAATAAATATATGATAAATTACAACGACGAACAATGGTTTCGTTTTGTTTCGATAGTATAGCTTGACATTGAAGTGAATTAATAAAATATATTACGCATATTTTGACGAATATTCGCCAAATATAAATATTCTAATGCATATTTCCTCATCAACATTGTAATTGACATCAACAAAAGCGGTTTGATTTGCGAAAAAAAATCTATGACCCATTTTTTGGAAAAAAAACCATGCGAAAACTCGAAAAAATCTATGTAGGTAGTTCATAATTCAAATAATATAAGTTGTTATTCTCACCGTATTAAATATCAAAACAACTAATCAAACGAACTAACCACTATCTTCTTGTGGACATCTATATATTGGTAATAAAAAATAGATAATATTTCATTGAGTCTTATTTTAAACTACGACTAATCTATAATACAATAGACTCTGAAAGAATCTATATCATACAAGTTTAATACTGTGTGTGTTATATTGATAAAAATAAATTCTCATGTTAAATTAATATTAAGTAGAAAATAGAATTCTTCATCAACAACAATTATTCATTTATTTATGAGACAGTCATTTTGACTTATTATTATATAGTCTACACACGTATATACTGAATCATGATTTTTTTAAAAACAATTTTCTATGTTGAGTCATATGATAAATATACATAAAAACTATGACGTTGTGCGTTATCGACTTCTTTCCTTTTATGGTGAAAAGTCAGCATGTGAGTCATATCCACATATTGACGTCTTTTTAATATGTAGTAAAAAGAAAAGAAATAAATAACAAAACAAATTTGATGTGTGATTCATCTAGTTTATAATTTAGGAGTTGTGCAATACCTAACAAATAAATAACTGCTCTCCCGTTCTTCTTCAGCAGTCTGTGTGTGTACGAAACAAAAAAATAGCATTAGTTTTTTAATAAAAACAAATCGTAAATAAATGACGGACGACTATAATGCTTCAACAGATGTGAATACGGCAACTAATGAAGAAGATACAGAAGCAGTAATTGCTAGTAAAGGTATTGAATTAAATATCATGTTTTGATGATGTTTTATGCATTGAACTGTACAGATGAACAAATGACAACAACTGTTCATGAAAATGGTTATGAATCTGAATGTAGTTCAAGTTCGAGAAGTGAAGAAGATGTAGCTTGTTCAGCACTGGAAGTTGAGGCTGATGCATTTACAAGATTTATTGAACGACAACGTATTGAAGTCATGTTTGAATTACGTCGTTTACGCTTAGGTGAGCGACCCGTAACAGGTCAACATAATCGAGAACGCATTGAAACATTTCTTAACAATATTCATGAACATCAACAAGAAACAAGAGTTCCATCAACACGACCAGCACCACCTAGTGCCCATATTGCTGATATTGATGCATTAGTTAATCGTCGATGTGTATCAGCAGCATTGGGTAGTGCTGCTTTTCGACAAGATCTAGAAAATACTATTCGTCATTCAATTGGGATTCGACCAGCAGCACCAGTACAACAAACTCCACAAGCATCAAGCATACCGCAAGTTGTAACTCGCGTTAATGTCGAACAACAACGTCCACAGATTACTCGAACAGTACCTCAAATTCCTATCGAACAACAACGTCCACAGATCACTCAGACAGTACCTCAAATTCCTATCGAACGGCAATCACCACGTGCACCGCCCAACGTTGAAAGGTATTTCTATTTCAAATAATCTATTAATCTATTAGAATAAATTAATTTTAATAGACAAGAGCGTGAATTCGAAGCGTGGCAAGCAATAACACAATTACAACGTGAAATAATTGTCTTAGAAATTAGTGATCTTGTCCATAGACAATTAGTAACGAGTGCTTTAGAAAGTGATTTTCGTAGACATCTTGAACAAAACGTTTTAGTAAGATATTTATATCGAGTCAATAATCAAAATTAGAATGTATTTTCTATATATTTTTAGAATCATTTGGAACATGGAGCACCTGCTGGACAACAACAAGAGCAAGCAGCACCTACCGCTGTAGTACCACCAATTCCACTTCAACCACCACGAGCCAATGTTCATGCCGTATGTGTTTTCTTCAAATACAAAATTCTTCTTTTTTTAAAATATTTATTATATATAAAATAGTCTGCTTCGAATATTGATGCATTATCAGCACGTCTTGATACAATGCAACAAATGCTTCAACTTATGTTTACAATGCAAATGGATATGCAACGATCATTGCGTCAAGATGTAGCAAGTGCTTTAGCTAATAATTCTACAACGACAATGAATTCAGTAAATCAACCAATACAGGCTGGTCATTGTACTGTTTGCTTAAGTGCTATTGCTGATACAGTTCTTTATCGTTGTGGTCATCTTTGTGTTTGTTATATGTGTGGATTACAACTTCAACACGGTACAACAGCAAATGCTGTGAAATGTCCTATATGTCGTGCTCCAGTTGAAGATATTCTTCGTGTTTATCGTAGTAGTCATGATGGAGAATAAATTTAAAAAACAAACTAAATTCAAATAAAAACAACTATCTTTTTTTTTGCTTGTTAATAGTTTTTTAACGAATATATTTACGCACAAATACAACATGAATAGATATGTACAATAATTAATTAGAAAATATATTTATATGTGTGTTTTGAAAAATAATCACTCGTGCTTGATTTTGTTTTCTTGTAGAAAGTTCTTTCTTTGTTTTGTTTTGTCATAAAAATAAAATATCGTAAATTAATGATTTTCGGCTTTCATGATACTATCATCGATTATTGATGTATGTTTCGTTGGTGATAAATCTTTATCAACTAAAATAAGAAGATTAGAAAATAATTTTAAATAAATGATTATAAAAACATACATTGTTGTTGTTCTTTTAAATAATTCATTAATTCTTGCTCATCTATTGGAAAAATATCATCAGCATCATTTATTTCTGATGAAAGTTCTTCGTCGTTTATATTATCATAAATTGAATATAAATCATCGATTGTCGGTATATATTCAATATCTTCTTCATTATTATTTAGTTCTTTTTCAAGATCTGATTCAATTTGTTGTACATCTTCATTTGAATATTGACCTGCAGGTTGTTCATTGGCTAATTCTTTTAAAAGACGACTTGCAATAGCTGTTGCTTTTTTATGTTTTGTTTCTTGAGAATCTAGAAAAGATAAATATTCGCATTTTTTTATTATTAATAAAATAATTTCGTTAGTATTACTTTGATTAATTGGAGCTGAAATGGTCAATGAATAGCCACAAATAATGACAAAAAGACAGCAAGGAATGAACTGCATTATTTAATCTCTATAAGAATAATTTGTATGTGTTGTCAAGCTTATGAAACTAAAGAAATAATAAGATCTCTTTTCTCTTTTTCTTCAAATGTTAACATCGTGGGTGTTTAGGCGGTAATTAGATATAACTAAATAAAAAAAAGACGAGAGAAACACAAAAGCAACAATAAAAAGAAGAAAGACGTCATTTTGACATTCATTGTGACGAGCATTCAACGCATTCTTTACTGGCTCATTTATTGTGCGCTAACTGCGTAGGCTGATATTTTTCTTCTAAAAAAAAGTCATTTGACTAATAGCAGATGGAATAGATAATAACAAATCTATGCGTAGATTCAAAAATATGATTCTCATAAATAAAAACCCAAACACACAAAACAGTTTATCAACACTAAAACTAATATATCAAAATAATATTACTTTTTTTTTTAATATTTCATCATGCATCAGTGCATATAATTGATTATATTCATAATATGTATATAATTACCATCTTCTCAATAGTAAATATAGAATATTAGTACTAATAATAGGAAAAAGACTAAGCAAACATATTTGATACGACTAAATTAGATTTAATTACGAAAAAAAAAACTATAAAAAAATTGAAAACTCAATAGAGTGTAAATGTTCTGATGTAATTTCCTGAATATTTTGAAAATAAATTAAACTATAATGATACATTTTTATAAATAGGTCAACTTGTGATACGAACGAACATTCATCTACGTTCTGTTTATTGTGAAGTAAATAGAAAAAAAAATCTGTTTAATAATACAAATGGTGTTATCAACAATGCATGGCAAGTTCAACTAAATCTAATTAATATCTCCTCTCTTCTCCAATCATTTAGAAACCTATTTTTATACTAAAACAAAATATCTGGCTGAAAATTTTAACGAATATACATGGTGTTCCATGAATTTTGAGATGCTACAAATTTAATTTATATGCAGATAGAGAATGGTCCCTAATCGAATGTTTTTATATGAGCCTTGCGTATTTGTGTCAATCTTTTAAATAACATATTATTAGTTTATAAATTATCTTGTAATAATAAAAATATAAACATGAGAATGTGGCGATAAATTTTTCGCAATGGATCGATGCGATTTTTCAATAAAGTATTGAAAACGTTCTACATAAAAAATGTCGTAGTAGAAATCAATAAACATTAACTTGTTCGTCTACTCCGTGCTCATCACGAGGCACTGGTTACGTGAACAGTCAAACTATATACTCATTGACCTGATTGAAATGGATAAAATATATAAAAATGTCATGTGTAGAAACTAAAAACTAGATTGAACAACGGATGAAAAAGAGTAACTTGTAATGGTTTTAAAAAATTGCTTGATAAAATTTCCGAGAGACTTATCAAATTAATAGAAAATGATGCACAACAAATACGTGATGGTTAAATGAGAGTTTTGTGTAACAGATAAATAGAAGAGTGTTTTACTTTTTAAAAATAATATCATGTTGATCAATTGCAAAAAATTTCTCGTCACATTCTCATGTTATTATTACGCGAGAAGATATTACTATCTAAATATAAACTAATTTTGTCGTGCCTCAAAACTTATAAAACACCCTGCATATAGGGCGGGTGTGTATATTTCAAAGTAAAAATTTTATCATAAAATATTAAACTGTTTAAGAGCTACTATCATAACAATGGTTATAAAGTAGTTTTCCGTGTTCTAAGAGTCTCTTTTTCAAATCTAATGATATAAATTTTGTGTTCATGCAAAAATGTAATGATAGCCTGTGGCTATAACTTAATAATGTCTGATTTTGTGAAAGTTTTGTTTTTTCTCTAACTTGCTGAAAACTTTCCTTGCAAAGTACAACAATTTACAAGCATTCATACGGAAAAAAATTATTTTGTTTTTTCTTAGGAACTCAGTCAAAAATGAAAAAACTTGACTCTGTTGAGTTATAGAACGTAATCATTGAAAAACCATCATTCCCTTTGTCATAAGGTTCTAAGAACAAATTCATTTGGAAGATGTGCAACGTTTGATAGCGCATATTTGCCAATGTATGCTAGTCATATTCTATGTGTTATAAACGTATATACTGCAGCTAAAAAGATTTGGGAATTATGAATTTTTCATGAAAAACCTTGTAAAACTTTCAAAAAACACTTTAAAATCAAGAAATGATTATCCATTTGGAAGCAAACACTTTGGACTACTAAACCGTGTTTGAAGCTTGAAAACTGTTATAGCCTGGACAAAAAATTAGAATTTCTGAGTGCACTGTGGGGATTTGATTAACATAGAAAAATAAGACTTTCCTTGTTCTGTTAATGAAGCAACTATTCTTTTTAATGAAATCTATAATGTCAATAAGTATTTCAACTGCTTCATTGTATTTTTCATGTGTAAAATAACACATGTTCATATATTTTTCATCATAGGTAATCATATTATTCTTGTATCTTTCTACTTGTTAATGAAAAAAAAAAAGATTATTTTTTCACAAAATGAATTTAAAATTCTATTCTGATAGCAATAATTTCATGCAAAGTCAAATAAAATATTTTAATTGCACGTTATCTGTACGATCTTGTTTTGCAACATGACATATAAATTATTTTACTAATTACTATAGAAAGATGATTGAGTTACTAATTGTTCTCTTGTATTTGTATTAAATACTTTAAAGTCATGTGCTTAGAAAAAAACATGACTGATTATGTTGATAGAGCAATAATTGACCTTTTTCTGTAAATTATCATCAAAAATATCTTGTTATATATATAACTTTTAAGTAAAGATGTAAACATGTAATTGTGAGATGATTTAATGAGACTAAAGAAATGTTCAGTAATCTCATAAATGATATATATATATAATTTAACATAGTGATTTTGATTGGCTCAAATTATTCGTATAGATTTTCATTAACATATTTTAGTCACTATCAGAAAACTGTTATACATAGGATCGTTTAATCAATAGATTTCTTTCTGAATGTTTTTTGAACTTGAATAAAAAGTAAATAATGCAAATTTCTATTTTATGGCTCGATAAAAAACAATATGACCAACAATTGCTTTCGAACACATTCAATGAAAGTCAAAGACCATTTATCAAAATAAATAAGATAGAAAACAACATTAGATTAACATTTTTTAATCAGCATATCCAATTTATTCTTGTCATCAATTTCTTACAACAGACTAAGCAAGTTCTACATAGATTGAGATCATTATCACAAACTTGTTGTCTCATTTCATGTGGATTCTAATAACTTCCTTTCTCTCATAGTATTTAGTTGCTTTTTCAGTACTATAATACTTCTTATGGGGACAAAAAGACAATACTTTAACAATGTAATTTGTTTATAGAAATAAGATCATTTCTTAATTTTGATTAATATGAAATGAAAAAGAGTATTAAAAGAGTTCCCATTAATTTTCATTCTAACAGGGTTAACAAATCGATCATGCATAGAACGACATAACAAGAAGGAGGTTACAGGAGGCTTAGCCATCTATCTCCCCTTACCAGCGGTTGAATTTCGCTTAAAAAGGGGCTTCAGTCTCATCCAAAAAGCATTACTAGTGGGGCTTCGCTCTTTGCCCCACAACCTTTTTTTTCTGGTTACGTCATTAGCTTCACAGATGTCGTCATTGATTAAACATGCATGAGTCATCAAATCTATCCCGAACTCATTATCTATTAATACGCTTACGATGAAACTCATTTTGAAAAGCTGATATTAACAGCAAATGACACACGTTACTGAACTAGATTATTTATGATATTAAATTGTTCTGATCAACTATAATTACGAAGTTGGTTTTAGTGACATCTCGCATTTACGTTGATTTCAAGTAAAATTTATTATATTCTTATTGAAACAAAAGTATAGTGTATCGCCCTCATTTGCTTCGAACTCATTTTTCCTAAAAGTAAAATCTATTGTTGAATATGTCGTCTGATTTCATGCATTTCTCTCACAATTTCTTTGTCTGGTGTATCTGTCAAATCTAGATGTCGCCACTTCAAGTGCATTCGACCTTGATTTGCATTTTTTGCTACGCTTTATACGACCCGATCACGTTCTTCCTAATTGTTTGCTAAAGGTGGTACATTCTTGTTTATCGACTTGAGCGTCATCTTTTATCATATGTCACATTGTTTGTAGCACTACTTTCATTGATTAATGCATTAATGTGTAGTTTTTTTTTCCTATAATGACCAATCGTTATCATTTTCTAGATTATTCGATTTCTCTTTCTCCTGAATAACGTTAAAGTACCTACATCACTTTCTTATCTGTGAAATTATACGAATTCTTAATCGAAAAAATTCATTTTAGAAAATCAAAAAGATGTCATCGACTGATGGTGCAACTAATAATAGTGCGAGCAAAGCTGATGAATATATCAAACTAAGAGTCGTTGGTCAAGATAATAGTTAGTTTTTGTTTATTATTCATATTTAATTTTGAAAATCTTATGTATTCTTTTTCTTATTTGTTATTGTCAGGTGAAGTTCATTTTAAAGTTAAAATGACAACATCAATGGGTAAACTGAAAAAATCTTATGCTGAACGTCAAGGTAAGAAATTCTATTTAATAGTTTTATTTAATTAATTTCGATTGATTTAGGAGTCGCTATTAATAGTTTGCGGTAAGTTCTATTTATTCATTGAATATTTAAAATTATGAAGTTTTATTTTTAGATTTCTCTTTGATGGTAAACGTATAAATGATGATGAGACACCAAAAGTTTTAGAAATGGAAGATAATGATACAATTGATGTATATCAAGAACAAGTATGTTAATATTCAATTCAGTAATTTATTGCATAAAAATAATTTTTTTGTTTTAGGTTGGTGGTTGATTTTAAACTAACTCAATCATTCAAAATGAAAACATTTCTATTTCTTTTTTTTTTTTTTCATTTTTTGTTGTTGCTTGTATGTATATATCAGAATGATTGATGACATTCAAAAATTGATGGCATTCTTTTTTTCCGATGAAACATTCTGGAATTTGATTTTTTGCTTGGGAAAGAAAACAAAAAGTGTATTACTATTTTTATTTTCTTCTTTTTTTTTGATGTGTTAAAAATGTTGTATGTATTTGTTATGACAAAAAAGAAAAAGAAAATTTTATGATGCATTTAAATTTTCTCGTAGATTAAGAGATAATGAATACACCAAAACGGTATGATTAGAATTATTTGATTGTTTTTTTTGTTTCTTCTTTGCAACAATTTTTCGGTGTTAAGATTACTATCAGGTTCTGATGATGTATGTGAATATCCAACAACAAGAAGACGATCTAAATCACCAAATGATAATTTGACAACACCAATTGATGATCAAATTGAACAAGTGGCGAAAAGACATCGTGTACCGAGTGATACTGTCAAACGTATTATCTCGGTAGGTTCGATAAATATATATAATTTATAAATTTTTAAGCATAATTCTGCTCTCGAGATGTAAAAACAAAAACAATAGTCATGAATGATCTACAATGATTCTATAGCGAGAGCTTTGTATTTATGTATGACCAGTTTCAAAGAAATGATATCGATTTCATGTAATAGATCACTAGACAACAGTTATCGATGTTCAATTCGAGTAAAAACCTATTGTAGGAGAAATTCACTTTTTTCGTATTTCAAAAACTCTAGATAGTGCATGAAAATTAAAGATGAATATTCCTGAACAAACGTTATTCATCATGTTTCAAAAATAATCAAGTAAATATTTATAGAAAAAGTAGCATACTACCGAGCTTATTTTTGATGAAAACAAAGTATCTAATGAATATCTATTTTAGGATCTTTTAAATGAATCGACAGTAGTCGATTATCTTCGAACACGAATAATTCAAGATGAATCATATTCAGTTCACAACGTAAATATCATATAGATATTGTTCATTATCATTTTCTATTCTTTTCATAGTCAATCTCAATAACAAGATCCGATGAATCTCTTCTTTCTTCATCGAATTATTTTGATACATCATCTCAAATAAATTGTTCGAATGTATTTTCATCCGATCAACAACAAAATCTGTTATCAACAACAATGGTTGATGAATATGATCCACTTTGGCTTGAGTTTCTTCAATCACTTAATACAGTTGATAATAATTCAAATATACAACAAAATACAACACAATCAAATGCTGCATTTGATTCATTATTTAGTGAAGATGATGATGATGAAGAATTTATCGGACCAGATGATGAAAATAATATTGAAAGTGTTGATGAACGAAAACTACGTGTGTCAAGTATGTTCAATCAAGATAAATCTTCTTGAATAAAATGAGAAAAAATTTAAAATTTTATATTAATTATTCTAGAGCGTGAATTAGCTTTATTATTAAAAGATAGTACACCATCACCAGATAATCATGTGTAAGTTCTCAATTAAGTTTAGAATATTTTTAAAAATAAAAATTAATTTTCTTTTTTGTATAAGTTCTTTTCCTGATGAAGAAATTCTTCGTGGTGATCAATATGAATCTTTATGGACAGAATTTTTAGCTTCACTTCAAACAGGAAATGATCAACAACAAGATGAACAACAAAAATCTATAATAACAACAACAGAAGAAGATGATAATGATGATGATCCTGAATTTCGACTTGCAGATACTGAAAACGATATTGATGATGATCTAGAAGATGAATTACATGTTTCAAGTAAATTTTATTTATTTTAAATTCGTTATTTATTTATTTTCTTTTTTAAAGAACGTGAATTAGCTTTACTTTTGGAAGATAACGCTTCGATATTAAATAATGAAGAATTTCAACATAGGTAAAAACAAGAAAAGCTGTTAATCCAATTCCTATGAGATTAAAAATATGAAAGACAATAGAACTGTTTTACATTGTTGAGGAGAAAATGTACTACAAAGATTGTATCTATGGTGAAATTTTCCTCAAGATTCGATTCCAGCAGTTTGCTTCACCATAATCAGTTTTTTGAAAGATTTGCCTATATTCGAGAACGATTTGTAACATTTAGAATTGGTATTTGAACTTCTCATTCAGTTACAAGAAGGATTTCTGTTTCAATACATTCATATTCCGTCACACTTCTAACAACGAATATAATTAATTTTTCAAAAATACTTTTTGAAGTAACAGGTTATATGAATAAAAACTTATATAGTGAAAATCTTTGTCCTTTCTGTATGTCACATTACTAACACTCGTTTATAATAATAATTCGAAGAAACAAACTTCGAAAGACTGAAATATTCAGGTTATCCAGAATACAAATCCACTGAAGCACTGACTTCATTGACATTGGCGTTCGTTGCAACATTGGAACACCACCCTTATTAAAATGTATTCTTTTTGTAGGGATGTGTTTCAATGCTTTAGTGTGTGCTAATTACACTGAGGTAGTGGCGGCACTAGTAAGTAAACTTAAACTGCACATCCCTAACAGTGCGTAAGAAGTAAGTGACAATGCTAAGAAGCTTGTTACAATTCTACAGGAGAAGAGAATCCAAATTTATATCCTCATACTACAAAACTTCTTTTAGATAGCATTTCACAAAAAAATAGTACGATTCCATATGCAGGTAATTAGAGATTAAATTGATTTGAATTTTTTCACGATTCTCAGCACTGACATCATCTTTGAAATTATGTTTGTTATCATTTCTATCTTCAATTTTTTGAATGCATAATACGACTTGTAAACAAAAAAAAAACAATGATTATATATTTTCATAGTGATGAATTTGTTAATCCTGAATCAGTTTCATCAAATACAACTTGTTCTACAATAACAAAAACATTGGAATATCAAATAACATCTGAACAACGTAATATTCTTCAATATCAATTAACAGCTGTAAAGTTTTATTTCTATGATTTTGTTTTTAATCTTATTTTTATTCATAGTATGTTCAATTATTAACTCAACATATTTTATTAAGACGTGAAACAAATTCATCGTTGCCAGATGATCAATCTGCTGAACAACTTTTTGTAAAATTTCTTTTTTGCAACGAAAAACAAACAAAATTGATTTTTTGTTTTATTTTTGTAGAAAGATCTTATTTATTTTCGTGATAAACAACCGAATTCAATCTTAGATATACCTTTATTAACTGAAGCTCAACATTTAATTGAAACTTCACCACCACCAAGTCGAAGAAAAGCTTTTGGTAGTTTTTTGAATTTCTATTATTGAAAATAAACATTTATTTTTTTCAAAACAATCTTCCTTAGGTAATCATCTATCATTTTATTTAATGGATACATTTTGTAAAAGTTCAGCTTTCGTACATGATTCATTATTACCAACTTATTTATTATCTTCAACAAATTCAAATATTCAAACATTATTTAATGATCAAATATCAAGAAATTTCGTGCCTGGTGAAGATTGGTTTGTTTCATTTCGTTAGATTTGTTTAAAAATAAAATAATTTCATTCGAAAAATTTAGCTTAATGGCACTTGGTCTTGAACAAAATGATGCAAAAATGTTAATTATTGGTCATTGTGAAAAAGCTATCAATGATCGTCTTAATAGTCTTCGATATGCTCGAGTACGACGTGGAAAACAAAATCCAGTTAAAGCTTTTTTCACTTATGGTTCTGTTCCTGACATTTCGTTAAATCCTTGGTATCATGTTCCAAATGGATTTGATATTAAACAAATTTATCCAAATGGTTTGATTGAAAAAGTTAATGTTGTTTTTCCTTCTTGGTTTCGACTTGTAAAATCAAATTTTATTCATTTATTCATTTCAAAGAAAAATAATTTTGTTTTAGTCTTATAAACGATCGAGACAATTATTAAAACGTGCAAATAATTCTCTTGTTTCATCATCATCATCATCATCAACAACAACAACAACAACAGCAGCAGCAATTCCAAGAGTCGATCCAAATGATGATGTTTCTTCATCAACTGTTTATGTTGTTGTTGAAGGTACATCATCTAATTCTCGAACAACAACATCACCTAATAAAGTTTTACAACAAATTCATATGTTACATTTATTAAATTCTTATCCGAAATTACAACCTAAACAACAATAATCATCACATTAGTTAATTCTTGTCAGATCTATTTTTGTTTATTTTTGTTTTGTAAAATATCTTTATTTAATTTTGATATGAGGAACTAAAACGATCATAATTATTATAAACAGCTGTTTCGGTGTACACTTGCCAGGAGATATCAGAATCTAACTCAACTAGGATCACAATAAGCTAAAAAGATGTTTAATCCCTAAATGTGGGTTACTGATAGATATCAATAAAGATGTCTAATTTGAAATTGATTTAAAAGATATTTTTGACAAATTCACATTGGCTTCTCTAGATTAGAGCCTGTCGGTTTCAAAATTTTTGAGTCAGAACACTGCCCGTACTTTTCATAGTCTCAGTTTAATAACTAACGCATCCTATGCCTTTGTCAGGCAAACTTGGCAAAGATCTTATAAGAATCAAGTTATAAATGACTTTTAATGTCAGAATAGTACTTAGTGGATCGATCTTAGACCTGATTTGATCCATGTTCGAGGCCTATCTGACGGGATCTACTTCAAAGTGGACGAAAGATTTATGCTGTAGCCTATTTTTGAAAAAAAAAGAAGCATTTTTTATTTTTTCTCAGCTGAGGAGAATTTGCAAAAAGACATGTTCAGTGTAGTGGATGTACATACTTTAGCACAGTTCCAAACTAGATGAAACTTTCAGAAAATGCTTTTTTTCTATTTGGTATGTCTTCTGAATAACCTTGCAGATGCATAAATGCTTATGGGCTGAGTTAAAAGTTTTCCAAGTCTTCGGCTTTCTGGTTTGTCATGATTTTCTGGCTTTGAAAGCTTTTTTTTAAGCAAA